TAAAATGACTGAATAATTTTGTTGTCAAAAAGCTGTTTTAATGGGAATCTATGGCTAAGAGAAACAACTGCAAGAGAGAAATGCAGTCAGATGCTGCTGACTTCCATGTGAATTAGATCTACAGAAAATAACTGTCCAACTTTTGGTCTCATATTTTGCATGAAACTTTTCTCAAATCCTTCAACATGTCCTTGCAAATTTTGCTTAGTGATGTTACTATAAACACAAACACGGCTAACAGATAACAGCAGAACTGTGATAAAATTTTATTCATCTGGAATTAAATGTGATAAAGTCCTGTAGCATACTAGCAAGTCAAAGTAGTTGCATCTTCCATTCCCTTTGTGCCAGCATATGTGACCATGTGCACAGAAGTGCAGGAGACTGGTTTTAGGTGGCACTCGCACAGTGTGGTGCAATAACTTGCAGGGATGTTTGAAGTAGCTTTGAATAAGTTACTTTCGTTCTGGGAAGAACCATGGCCATGTTAGCTCCTCTGTTTGGAGCACAACAGAGGGAATACCCTCAAGCAGAGCCCTGTGCAAATGTGGTTACAGTCCTGCTCCAGCCCAGCAAGCAGGTTCAGAGTCAGTTCAGTTATATCTACATGACACTGCCGTATGACCACCAGAAGTGTTTATTTTGCTTTCAGAAAGAGAAAGCAGGAAAATGCTTTATCTCCACAGTGCAAGTCCCAAAGTGTAAAAGGCTTTTCCAGTCACGGTGCAAACTCATTGATTCATCCTAAACCACTATTCTTAGCTGAAAGAATAAAAGCAGCTCTGAGGTTGAGCACCAACTTTTAAATGGTCTGTGGTAACACGAAGCAAGACTCACCATTGCTTCTTGATCAAATGAATGGCTAGGGTTCAGGCCAGTTAACTGTCTTTTTATACCTGCTAAAGATGAAGAAACTTAAGTGCATACTAACCAGCACCGCTAGGGCTGCTCCACCTTCCCTTGATTTCAAACACAATCTTAGCAATTCCCCTGAGCAACTCCAACATGCTTTCAAAGGCTGAGTGCCATGCACTTACCTTTCATACGGTCATGGTTATATGTATTAATTAAAGGGATTAGCTGTCACTAGCGAGAACCACTTAGTATATTTAGTACATCCTGAAAATATAAAACATTTACAGTTTTAACCCAGATATTCTTGTCCTACTTCATGTTCTAGATTGCTTTGCTGAATGATTTGGACCAAGTCTTGTGCGTTGACCAAGAGGTCAGCAATTGCAGACACCTGGAAAGCTTCCCTGATGTCTCCCCTGCCCTGTTGTTGCTTTTTTACCCCTCCGTTACAGACAGTAGTTTTCAGCATGCAGAACTGTATCTTATTCTCTGAGTGGGTACTATTGGTATCGTTTGCATGATGCATAGCTAAATGTATATTTTCTAAGAATTTTAAGTAAGGCCCATTCTGCTCATTGTCTACAATACCAGCAACTTCCCGTCAGAGCTCTTTCAAACATTCCAGAAGCTTGGACATGAGTGATTTCTATAGTGCTCTAACTTTGGCATGTCTTTAAACAGATGGAAATTATTGTTATTCAGCCTTAGGACATACCAAGATCTCCTTTTGTTTCTGTAATGAGGCCCAATTAATACCTAGGACTTTCTGCCACTCAAAGGATTTCAAAATATCCAGATTTCAGCCAGAACTGTAATGATGATGTGTGTTTTCATGATATAATCTAACTATAACTACCTAAACCAATATCAATATAAGCAATGAAAGTCATTCTTATCCTATAGGAAACTTACGTATTCCATTGTATTAAAAATCCTATCTACTACAAAAGACATTTTCTCATTGCAGGGTCAGCATTACACTTTAGTGCAATGACCCAAATTAGAGTAATTTTATTGAGCTAGACAGTCTTTGGGCTAGTTTCCATGAAAGTTTTGCTGCAAAGATGGGACAGCACAGTTGTCACTGTGTAATCTTACCATGCAGGGGGCATTAGAAATATCTGTACAGAGAATTGGTGTAGAGTAACTACTCTGTACTGATTTACTGTTATGCATTTCAGAAGCTTTTACATAAAATGATACTAATGAAAAATAGTATTTATAAAGCAATACAGATTAAGAACTTATAGTTATTTACCTAGCCAGACCTCCAGGGTTACCACTCTCCCCTGAAAAGTCGGTTTATGAATGCTTGAAATGCCTACAGTGATTTCTGAACTTTATCCTGTTCATGAGAAGTCTGCTCTGCTTATTTAGAATTCTGGGCAAGTGATAAGATAATACTTAACTTTACAGTTCACTTTTTTCCTTTTTTTTTTTTTTCCCTCCATGCGCAGCACTAGGAACCCCTGAATTAAATGTTGGCATCTTCACTGGATCCAATAGGACTGTTCACTACCTGTGGTTTCTTGCTGCTACCTAACATTGCTGGAGGTTTCCACCAAATCCTGGCCATCACACTCTGAACAGGTTCAGACTGGGTTAAAATACCCAGATGCATTACCAAACAGGTATTTACAACCAGGACTAAGCTGAATCACTGTTATTAAAATATAATGAAAATGAATGCAAGCGAGTGTGGTGTCTTTTCTCCTCTCCCCATTTCCTCTCCTCAGAAAGATCCAGTGACCAGACAGTTGGCAAGATAAACAGTAAATGCCACTGTAGCTTAATGGGGACAATGTACTACAAATTGCAATTATGATGGCAGGATTTGGTTTAATATTACATGTTATGAATTTTTAAAATATATTTGATTACTACTATCAGAAACTGTACTAAAAATAGGCTGTTGAATTGCGTTTTTCTAAATGACAGATAACTGTAGGAATGCAGCATTCAGAAGGAACTGTTTGTACTAGGCACTGTATTTCTTCTCCACCCATCTGAACTTCCAGAAGAACATCATATGAATTTTGCAAATATATCAAGGAGGGAATAGACAACACAGGCTGTAAAAACTAGATCACAGACATGCAAGTATATGCAGGTGCTATAGGCGAACTACATTTTCTTCCTGCCAAAGAGGCTTCTCTAATCTCCAAGTTAGTGAGAATGTCCTCATTGCTCCAATATTTTCCCTGCAGCCACAACAATTTTTTAAATACATAAGCAGCCATTTGATTTTATCACTTGGAATGACAAACTCAGCCAGTGACAGTGCCCATCAAGTCCCTTGAAGGCTTCATATGTTTTATACACATCTCGTAAATTATTCTGCATATTCAGGCTCTCAGTACAGTTACTAAAATAATCACTAAAGTGCTATCATGAGTTTTCAAGAAAGAGAAGGAAGAATTTTGCGTTTAGCTATTCCTATAGCCCTGACTCAGCCATAATTCCTCTTTAATTGAGTGGAGAATCAAACCTGATGGTGAGATTGACTTCAGCTCACTGCTTCACTAGATCATCCCTCCAGCACTGGTTTTGTTCAGTAATGTCTGGTGTCAGAAGCTGAAACCACAACTGCTTGTTACACAAGCAGCTGCTTGGGATGAGATCTCCCATGCTGCATGAGGCTGTGGGTAAGGCAGGGCAGCATGCTGGAGTGGGGCTGTCTCATATCAGGCACTTGTGATGCCTTCACAACAAAGGCCTGCCTCTCAAGCTGCTCAGACCATCACAATATTAATTTGCTCAAAATAAGGGTATGATCATGCCTTGTGTAATTACAGGAATGCCTCTGCTTCCATGGGGAATAGTAGTGTTGTCTGGTGCTATGAACTAGAAAACCATCTGCTCGAAACAACACCAAAAGAGAGGAGAAACAGCATAGCTCCTATGCCAACCCTCCTGCACCTGCCTCTGCTATTCCACAGTTCCTGTCCTGGCTGGGTGGCAGGTAGCTCCTGGCTTCTCCACAAAATGCCAAGAAGAAACCTTGAAATGCCTAATGGCACTTCTTCCAACTATGAAGTATTCATTTTCAAGGTCCCTTCCAACTCAAACCATTCTATGATTTTCTATGGGTACCTATGGAAAATAGTTGCCCTCAAGATGGCATATTCAGGAAATATTTTTGAGGAAAATAACTCAGGTGCTGGGATGAAGGCAGCAGCAGAGGCACTTCTCAGAGACAGATGTACACCTGGAATATCTTCCATCAGAGTATGCGTGAGCGTTCGAACTGTCTAACCAGCCACCTCAGCTGCATACCAACTTTATGGCAACCTTTCCTTTCTTCCTGGGAATTACACAATGACCAAGTGTCTGCATCTTACCAGAACACTTACTCCTTGCTCTAGAACTTAAGCTTTAATTAGAAGTTTCTATGCCTTATGCCTGGAAGGAAGATTTAACAAAAATCAAGCAGAACATATACCTTCAGCCTGTATAAATCTTGAGACAACAGCTCAGAAATTCTGGTAATCTTAGTACAACACTGAAATGAAATAACAGCATTTCCTAGAGGCAGCTTCACTGAAAACACCAGCTTTTTAATAAATATTAAAGTGCAGTTCTTGGGGTTTTTTACACTCTTCCCAAAGTGGCCTAAAAGATTTTGCCTTCAGCCCTACTACTTCCCCTTCAGTAATTCCAAATGGAAAGCTATACGTTTTTCCTATGTATCTAAAATATATTTAAAACCAAGATATTTAGACTGCAGTAAATTTAACTGAAAAACAGAATAATGGATTTATTTAGTAGAGCTTCCCTAAGGGCATGTATTTGCACATTTGCTTAGGTGAAATCTCCCTCCTTTCAAAATCACTTGAGCTGCAACTGAAAGTTTCAGAAGATGCCATGAGACATCACAGCTAGGCAAGGTCACTCCATGGGGCAACAGAGCTTGCTCCATTATCATGTGTGCCACAGCCATTCAGAAACTGCCTCATGCCTATATATTTTAACACCCTGATTAAAAGCCTGATCCAAAGCCCATTGATGTCAATGGGAACCTGTTACCTTTTGCAGGATTTGGGTACCTGTACCTCAAGCTGCACCGTGCCCAGCACTGCCAAAGGAGGAGCACTCCACACAGAGCATACCCCAACAAGACCCAAACCCACAGGGTTGAGTCACACAATGCTTGTGGCTGATCTCTACAGTGCAGTCCCATCTCAGATGGCAAATCTCCCAGCTTCCAAGGAACAGGAGGAAAACATTTTAATTGTGGCACACTAAACAAACAGAGGGCATAGAAGTCCAGGTTTCCTTCAGGACAAAACCACAGCAACAGTGATGCACTCGTCACACTTTTGCACTACCCTGGGCCTGATGGTGCATGGAGAGCTGCCAGCAGTGATGGTCCCTCTCCCTAAGTCCTCATGTCTCCTCTCCTGTGTCCTGTCACACAGCTGAAGGGTGACTCAGCTCAGGTCCCAGATGGAAATCATCCCTGCTGCTCATGTACACAAAATCTATCTCTATATAGACATATATACACTTACACTTACTTACACTGAGCAAAATCACCTTGTGGCCACACTGTCACAAAACACTGTGAAAAGAAGAGGAGGAAGAGAACCCCATGGGCAATGGAGGGGTAGAGATGGACTGGCACACTCAGCCATAGCTATCTTATATTAAAATGAAGTTACATTCAGGTGGGTTTCCAGGAAAAAGGCTGCCATGTGATCTTCCACTGAACATCATTCGGCACACTGAGGTGTGCTGTGTTTGCACAAAACACCCCAAACTCTTCCATATCAGTTTTATTGGTTTTATTCCCTACTGCAATGAAAGAGGTAAAGCTATTAAACTTTTTCCATACAAAAATCCAAGTTTATCTTCTGTACTGGTCCAAGTGCATTGGCATTACAACCCCACCAATATCCACCAAAAAGGGTTATAGTAGGCAATTCTTTTGCACAGATGTGCTTTAAAGTCTTGTACACCTGTGTACTGTCACAAATCTATCCAATACTTACAGCATCCAGTCACTCACCTAATCACTATAAAAGTGCTTTCATGGGATTATATGGGAGAAGAGGAAAACATGGGGCAACCCAATGTACCATCCTCTCTCCTTCCTTAACTGAATGCCAGAGATTGCCCCTTATTCCCATTTCTCTTTCTTCATTCCTGTTTAAGTATGAATGATCGCACCCAGCAGACATATTCCTAGGAAGAATGGAACCTCCCTCACTGTAGAAATGCTGCACTTTTAAAATGCTTCAAGATGCTAAGTATCCTTATATTATACAAGTCTATAAGTAACCTTATAACACACAGGTTTCCAGTTCAAGGGACAGGTCCTTTGCCTCCATAGCACTCGGTGCCTGTACTGGTGCTAGAAAGATGAATTAAGCTCATCTCTACCCCCACACTATGCCAGAGGCAAAAAAGAACAAACCAAAAAATCCCCCAGTGATCCTCACTCCTTTCAGTGTGAATACGTTACATTCCCAATCACACATTCATAGGCAAGTTGAATACAGGGGCTCATATATACTGAGCTGGTTCAAGATTAATATATGCAGCTAAAAGACCAGTTTACAGAAGTGAAAGTTTTGGACAAGTGGGAACAACTTGAGTTTGCTTTAGGGCACTGCTCTGTTGCACCATACAGACCTGAGCAGCTCTGGGACCGCAGCTGGTACAAAGATGGGAATTCAGCTGAAACATGAGGCGGCTTTTCCTGAAACATGAGGCTACTGGCACTTACTCATGTAGCTGCAATCAAATAAAGCCTCTCACCTGAATTTTGTCAAGACACAAAAATAAATTACCATCTGAGTCACCATTTATCTGAGTACTTGGGAGTACTGTGTGCAGTTCTGGTATCCTCAACATAAGGACATGGAACTGTTGGAACAAGTCCAGAGGAGGGTCACGAGGATGATCAGGGGACTGGAGCACCTCCTGTATGAAGACAGGCTGAGAAAGTTGGGGTTGTTCAGCCTGAAGAAGAGAAGGCTGCATGGAGACCTCATAGCAGCCTTCCAGTATCTGAAGGGGGGCTATAGGGATGCTGGAGAGGAAATCTTCAACAGGGACTGCAGCAACAGGACAAGGGGGAACAGGTTTAAACTTAAACAGGGGAAGTTTGGGTTAAGTATAAAGAAGAAGTTCTTTACTGTGAGGGAGGTGAGGCACTGGAATGGGTTGCCAAGGGAAGTGATAAATGCTGCATCCCTGGCAGTGCTCAAGGCCAGGCTGGACAGAGCCTTGGGTGACATGGTCTAAAGGGAGGTGTCCCTGACCATGGCAGGAGGGCTGGAACTAGATTATCTTAAGGTCCTTTCCAACCCAAACCATCCTACGATTCTATGATTCCTAAGTTACTGACTGAACAAGAGCACGAGCAAAAATTTTACAAACCACTTTGCGCAACACAATTTCCAGTATGTTACCAAAGACCCAAATTACTAAAAAAACCCATAGGCCCAAGTAAAATTGCATGGCAGGGAAACATTTGTGGTTTGAGCTCTAGCAATTCTATTCATCAAGTTATACTACTGTAACTGAGCATCTCCAGGGATTAAAGAGTTAATAAAAAAAAAGAAAATGCACAATTACCTAAAATACAATCTGTCAATCAGATATTGGAAATGGACTACAAGTACTTAGAGAACACTTTAAACAGATGACCATGATTTATACATGCTGCAACTGTCACACACACTATTTCTGACATTCAAGACCCTACATGTACTGACAGTTGAAGAAATTTCTAGTTATTTGCTATTTTGTAGATCTGTAAATCACATAAATGCTCATATTATTTCCATGTCCTCTGACAGTTTGCATCAACAGACCATCTTGGAAGAACTACAGTGATGAATTATTGATGGTATCTCACATAGCTGGCAAACATTTATTTGCAATGCTGTGATACAGAGCCTGCCTCTTTCCAGTCTCGAGATTGACCCTAATGTAAACTACACCATACAACAGATCAAAAAATACGTAGCCTAGCTCTCAATTCATGATCTCATTCTTATCATTCGATGGTTCCCATAAAGACTGTTTATTATTGATGGGAAATGCTGGAAGCAAAATATCCTGTAGCTGGAAGTCCCAGTAACTGACTCAGTCTGACTCTTCTGGCCTCCTCTCAATATGCTTTATTTCTTCTATTGAATAAACAAACAGTTGCATTCTGTAATGACAAAGCAAGCCAGGATTTTCCCATACTGTTTTGACAGATGTTGTCAAGGACTGATTACAAAAACCTGTATACCAAGTAAGATATTTACTGCTGTGATTTTCCTTAACGTAACTGAACTACATGCAGAATAAACTAACGTCATAGGAAGCTGTGCTAATGAACAGCCTCTGACTATGCAAATTAAACTGAAAAATAACTTCTCCAACTGCAGCAAAATCTATTTTTAAAGGCACTGGAGGAAAAAATATCTTATTTGTTACATTGTAGTAACAGGGCACAGGAGTCTATGATGGAGGTGAAAGGACTGATTAACGAAACATCTCAATGTCTGGTTCAGGCACCCTGCAGGAAAAGATCAGATCTTTTTTCAAAGGTCTCATTACTCAAAAGCTCTCAGTAAGAACAGCTAGAGCAACCTTCTGCTGACTGCTACTTCACCCAGTACAATCAGTCAGCATTTAATGTATTAATAATGGTTTTGCGCTCTGTTTTTACAGGCAGTTGGAAAATGCATCAAAGCTGATGGGGTTCAATTACGAAAAATTATTTTAAAGGGCTTTCTGGGTTTTGTGTTGCAGGAGGGTTGGGAGAGGATGCTGCTTAACTGATCACATCCATGCATCATTTTAAAATACAAAAAATAAAAGCAGACTGATGCCCCATTACAATTATATGCAGAACTGTGAAACAGAATGATTTTCTATTGCCAGGTGTTCGTGTGCCCATTGTAACCGGCAAAAGGAAGACCTTAGACATTGCAACATCATGGGCCTTCCTTTTGAATACTATTTTTCAGGTCTGTAGCCCCCACTGGCTCTGACATTTACTTGTTAGATAGATAGGAAATTACAAGGTGGTACCAAGAGGACAATATTCTTTTGAAGCCATGGGAAAATGAGACTGACAGAATAGGGGGCATCACAGCACAAGTTCCTTCACTGCAACAAGGGAATTTTCATTGCAGTGAGGGTATTTGGACCAGCAGGTTTACACAGCCAAACAGTGTTTTTGCAAGCCCAGGTGACTAATAATTCTGGAAATTAAAAAGCTGCAGCTCTGTATGACTGACAAAAGAGGTATTTCATTACATCATTTTATCTGTGCAAAATGAAGCACTACGCAATTCATATGTAAAAGTTTATTTCTCCACTATTTCTCTAGATTCTGTACAACCACAAAAATAGGACATGGGCCTAAGTGACTGAGGCTTTCCTGGGATCTAAAGCCCATTTAAAAAACTCCAATGTTTTCCAGTGATTTACACTGCAATTAGACTAAAGACCTGATTTAACAGAAATCTCACAGAAGTGGAAGTAAACTTCTTAGTTATTGTGTCTCTTTCCTTAAAATCTTAACTTGCTTCATATTAAATATATATAAAAAGCATTTGTTCAGTAAATACTCCACAGACAATCTGAAAGAATACAGCTGCCTGTTCAGTCCAGATTCGTAGCTGGTGCCACAATCTGGGAAGGATTATAAACTGCCTATCATCCCTCTGTGGCAGAAGTATGGGCAATACGTCATTCTTTCTATGCAGAATATTATGTATGAAATTACAAAAGGGCCCTATTTAGATAATATTCCTTTTTATTTCATATTCTAATTGCCTAGGAATGGCAAGGTAAAAAGAACATCTTGTCCCAGCAGAAACTCTAGGAAGTGTACCAAGCAAGATGCACAGTCACACTTTACACATGCACTCTGACCGCTCCTGACACTACAGATTGTCTTCCAATTTCCAAGAGGAAGCAAAGGGAGTCATCTCTGTCTGTCTGATGTCTCGATGACATTTCACTGAGATAACAGTTCACTGGGATTTGCACATCTGAAACTCTCCAAGGAAGTTTGTGAGAAATAATAGTCTAACCTACTTTTGGGACTCAGTGGAGAAATTCTGTTTCAAGCACCAATGGCCACTGATGTCAATGGGAAGATGTGAGTGAGTGCAAAGGGACCTGGTTTTGCTCAGCGCCGCCAGGCCTGCTAAGGCCTAAAAGACATTCACAGAAATGAAACGCCTGCATGAAGTTACTGAAAATCAAGATCTGATTTAAGGAAAAAGGT